TCTTTATAATTTGAATATGAAAAGCTTCAAACAAGAAAAACAGAATCAACTGTTTAACAGAGGTACGCAACGAACAAAAGAAACCCGCGTACATCACTTAAGATCGTGAAACGATCAGCAACATCTGAAATATCAAAACAGTAGGTCACAGGTTGTTGCCGGATTTCAAAAGTGTTTGCCGCAAAAATGCTTGCTTTGAATAGATACATTTGGAGCATTTAAGATGAAATGAGCAAGAGCAGCGAGCTCTACCAAAACAGATCCAGTATTCATTTCCACCTTTCGACAAATGATCATTAAAAAATATCAGTACAATCATAAGTCAGTTTTTTAACAGAGGTTTCTGCTAGCAACTTATCCAAAAAAGTGAATTATTCGGATTACTAAGCCAGGATTAAACACCAATGATAAGGTGATAGAGTGCAAGGTGGTGAGACAAGTTAAGTCCAGCATACACTTCAACAGCTAAAATCAAATTCCAAAAAGAAAAGCAAACAGTGTGAAAGCAAAACCAGCTTTTCAAAGAAAATTGTTTCAGAAATCGCAGCATCATGCATCAATAGGAATGCAGATTAAACTTTATACTAAACTGTACGGCAAAAGATGGAATCATCTAAATTTAAGTAATAATGAAACTCATAGAGATTCAGTGCTACTAATGAAATTACGTCAGAAAGGATGAACAGGAAACCAGGATAGGCAGACAGGTCTTTACCAAGCCGATAATAAGGCTGGCATATGCACTGTTCACCAGTGTGGTTAAAACGAGCGGATTCAGAAAGAAAACAATATGCATACCATCAGCTTAATATTACTAGGACTGTATACACGTTGCAACATGTATCTGTTAGTGCACAATTGTTCAAATGAGAAGATCAGCAAGTTAATCCATAAAAATTATTGATGCAGCATACAGCTAAAGAACTCCATAGTAAACAAGATATTTTTGAGTCTAAAAGAAACGAGAACTACCTTCTACCCTACGCTGATCGTCTCATCTTGATGGCGGTGAGGAAAGCCTTAGCTACCAGTGAAGTACTTGACAAATTAACAGCGATTAAAGCACACGATATATTTAGAAAATAAACTTAAAAAGGAAATACTTTAAATTTTACAACATTGAAAGTTATACCCTGAATAGCACTTATATGGCAATGAAAATATTATGATTACTCTTGAGCGAAGCATTAAAACAAATGAAACTGCAACAAAAATATATACGATAAGCATAATTTTTGTGATAAGCTGATCTCTTCGTAGCGTAACAAAGCACTTTCGAACACTAGGCTACGCACGAAGCAAAATGCGTCATGCAGAAACGTGAAAAACGGTTGATTTAACTTCAAAATTAATAAATAAACGCAACTGCCTCGTTAGTCGTAAGAATACACATTCGATACTTGCTTAGCTTTCTCAAGAAAATTCTAAACAGTTAAGGATTTTAACAACTTAATGGGCTACTTTTATTTTGAAAATTAGTTTAAAAATCAACATCATCAAGAGTCAAACTCAGAGAGTTGTTTCTCGTCTCCAAAGAAATAGTGAGAAAATAACTTTGTAGTGATGACCAAAAACTTTCATCGCTGCATCGATAAATCAAAAATTCATAACAATAAGTAAGGTACGAATGAAAAAAATGAAAAGGCACACACGAGACTTATGTTATGTCTAAACATGTGGACCCTTTCATTTTATAGTTATCTGTTCCTTTACATTAAGCTACGGGTAGAACATTCAACAGGACTGTTCAGCGTCCAAGTTCGTTAACCGAGCATACAGTAAAAGTCTGATTAGAGTGGACAGTACAAAGTGTTCAATACGATATAGCCACTTGGCCCTAAGAATGTCCAGTTACTCAGCTGAATGCAGTGTAGCTGCACGAATGAGCAACAACAGTTCAGTAAAACAGAGCCTGTACATTGTACGCCTATTCTTGACTGTTGTTTGCCTGTAGTCTGCAACATAGCCTTAACAGTTTTCGGCTTGCCTGTATTCCTTCGAATATCCTGATCACGTGTCCAAACTACTGCAATAATAATCATTCGATCGGGAGAGAAAAGCTTTAAAGCGAAGTTATTATAGATTATCGTACTCCGAATCTTGTCGAGTTAATCAGATCAGAAACTTTTCGAAAATACTTCATTTTGGCATTTGCAACCATAACAATGCTCCGTTAAACTTAAACTTCCTTTAAGGACGACTACAAGTATTACAAAACTTTTGGCAATGAGTTTGCTGTAAGGTTCGAATTTTTACAAATATTAGCTCCTGAGAAAAAGTTACTTAAGTTTCCGCATTTACTAAACTAATATAATTTACCTAATCTCGCATGAAGGCTAATTTCTTGACAGATTTAGTAACAGCTGATAAATGTGAGATAACCTCAGCTTTGCTACTGTTAAAAAAGCCGCTAAGAGTTTACGGCTTTAAATGAGTGCGGCTAAGACTCGAATCTGACACTATGCAACTAGTCCCATTCAATCAGAGGCCATTTCATATAGAAAAGGAGGTAGCAGGTCAATAATTAGCGAATATAAGCAATATACCATAAAAAATTCCTCCATCACAGATGTAAATATTAACAATATCTCATGGCTGCTAGAAACTCTTATTTTAATCACAATAAACACTTTTATCTTTATTACTACCACTGCTAAAAGAAGGCTTCTATAAGACTGCAACAAACTCCTTCCTTCAGCTTCATCGAGCGAATTTCTACAGCTTATCCCGCCATCGATCAACAGGTCTTCTTACGAGTCGTTTACTTTCTCCCAGTGGAACTATAACCCTGTCGAATGTATCTCTGGTCAAGCGATTTTGCGACGTGCCCTGCCAATTTCCACTTCAACCCCTTGATTCAGGTAAAGACACAGCAGATATCTGTTCCTGCTTTTATCCATTCATTCGCCTTTCTATCGCTTCTTGCTATTCCCAGCATGCACATCCGATGAACAATTTTCCGGCTTAGGCTCCAAGTTTCGCATCCATGCGTTAGTACCGAAAGCATACACTGATCGAAAACTTTTCGACCAATAAACAAAATTTTTTGTTGTTTAACATAGTTTGACTTAATGAAGATTGACATCCGGTCAGTCAATGTAACGTCGTTGCACTATTACAAATAAGAGTCGTGAACAGCAATGGAAAGTTAAAATTTATAAACAGCATATTTTTTCATATTTGAATCAAGCGTTTTCAATGCAGCCCTATTTATAAAAGACTTCATTGTTTCTTGGAAGAAACGCAAAACCAATGCAACTAATCAGTAAGTTTTGCAGCTATCCTTGCCGCCCGACGACATGCCCCTGATCAATTGAGGCAGTGCCATCTGTTGTACAGTGACTGCTTTAATCCTCATACAAATAATGGCAAATAATTAATGGCAATAATTATTTTAAAATGCATTCTGACAAATGTGCGCAAATTAACACGATCGGCGGTATGATGTTACAATCATTTACTGATATGTGTTTAGCATTAATGAATTATTGAGTTATAATCACATCATTTTTAACGGTTACGGCAAGGCTGAAGGCAGAGTTGGAAAAGGACTACATGATAATGTAAACTTCCGCAATGCACAAAAATCAAGATCACAAATCGTCACTGGTGCCACGAACACATATGCTGTTTGAATCAACAAAGTAATGCTGCTACCCATTCACAAATCAAAGGTGCTCCAATACCATGAAGTCTCGGCTGTAGAAGCAATGGGACGAAAGGCACTGTTGCGCAAAGCGAAAAGACAAACTTTTGGAGTCAATTCTGGTAGCCTGCTGCTCAGTTACTTATCCACTCAAAGCTAATGAAAGCAGATTTTCAGTCCATCTTCTCTTCATTCATTATATTCGCACACTGGAAGGGGTTGTCTGGCTTTACTGCTTTTGCTATGATACCCTGTCAAGTATATGAAGGTAATCAATACAGTAAGACTAAGATTCTAAGGTCATTTCTTAACTAGTTTATGGCTTCCTGACTGACATCCAGGATGTTCTGCCATCGAACTTCCGAAGGAGGAACGTCAGAGGTAACTTTTCCACCATTTGGTCTTTGAGACTACAGAGACCTTTTCTATTAGGAATATGATTCATCAAAATAATTGATTCTGTGGAAAACGGTGAGCAAGGCGCATGTAACATTGCTTTCATGAGTACCATCGGCTGATTAGCAATAACCATAATCACGTCTCCTGGATCACACAGCGTTGCTGAATCACTTACCTGCTATTATTTGTCAAGGAGGACCATCTACGCTGCCACGTTAACTAGAAATTCTAGTAAACAACTCTTTCTTTTAACACTGAATACCATACCATCAATCAAGGAAACAATCAAATTCAACCACAATATTCACCCGTCTTCAACTAGTAATTCGCACAATTTTGAAAAATTATTCAGTAAAGAATTAAATAAAGCCTCTTTAGTAACACTCCAAAATTTAGACATTTGTAACAAACAAACTTAAATAAGGCAGATGACAGTAGATTGCCAAAGGGGAATTACAGGTATCTTATAAGGCAGTGAAATGTGGAGAACTCAATCATCCAATTTGATTCATTCGCAAAAATAGCAGCCGTTTCTGGATGATGATGCCGATGATCAGCCAAAAATTAGCGCGCGATTCTGGCATCGGCAAGAATAACGATTTTTCGCTTTTTACAGCACCCATGCATTTTCATTGCATTAATGGCTCATTTTTGCGATGAGCGATGAAGACTTGTGGCAAATGGATTAACGATCGTAGATTCGGTTGCAAACATTTTCTACTCACAACATCGGAACATTTTACTGCCTTGTGCACTACGATGACCCGAGAGTAACGCCAAAAACTTTTATGGCCGCCAGTGTGGCGCACATTTACATATCCTCCTCCGGCTTGGCTCTATAACTGACTTCTTTACAAAAAATTTCAACCAAAAGAACATTCAGACACTTTACGATTGTTAAAATGACAGCGTCATTCGATCAGTAAGTTTAGCACAAACTTTCGTTTTGAATTATATACAGATTATACCCACTGTTACAGAGTTATTTTCCTAATTCATTTATCAAGTGTTTACAACGTATACATATTAACAAACAAAGTTAACTCAGCTAGTTGGATGGACTGTCATATAAATCTTCGCAATAATGTTCGAAGTTTTTAGCTGGAAAAACAGAAGTGTAAAAACGGACAAGTTTCGTTTAAAAAAGAATTTATAAACATAGTTATTCATTTAACAGCTAAACACCAATATCAAACAATACCAACGGCATACCTTTATATAAAGTAACGGAATCGGCTGTTTGCTTTTGCTGTAGTGGCGTGCCACTCTGTACACGGTTTCAGGGATATACTCTAATATCAGATTCAGAAAGACTTCGTCAGCCTAAACAACGATTAATGATACATAACATGATCGCCACGCAAAATAGGAACAATCCGATCAGCTGGACGAATTTTTTTGGACATGACTGCGTACGAAAACAAATAAATGACAAGATATGCGGTCTGTGAATGATAGAGGTAAAAAGTTTAGTTCTCGATCAGCATGGTGGTCCTTACACACTCTACATATTAGACTGACAAGGAAGGAAGACTCGTTCAACAAAAAAACAGGCTCAGAATCTACGAGTTTTGAAAGCTCGAAAACTAGGTGAAAAGAGATATAAGCATTTCCCGCTAACTATGATACGTCAAAGGGACAGTGATAATATGCCGATACAAGAACAAAACAAGCATTATTCACATCTGTAA